GCAACCTCAAACTCCAGGATTCAAGTAATCTCCTGTCTCAGCATTCCAAGTAGTTATTACTATAGTCACATGTCCTCACACCCAGCTGATTATTTTTTAGACATTTTTTGTAGAACCAGGTTTATGTTGCCCAGGCTGGTCTCCAACTCCTGACCTCAATCAATCCTCCCACCTCAGCCTCCCAGAATGACATGATCAAAGGAGAGGCCGCTATACTGGTCAGGAGTTAAAATTCTTAACACATGTAGAAACAAATCTCAACTAAAAAACAGCAGTTACTTCAACTATGATGAGATGTAAAGGGCTGTAAATACCTGAAAAGTACTTTAATGAAACAACAGATACCACTCAAAGAATAGTCATATGAACTCTTTAACCTTTGTCCCGTAAGCCAAAACTAAAATAAAAGGAAAATGTATAGATACTAACTGAAATATCATCACTAAGTCTAGAAGACCACAGTGGTAGACACATCTGTTTCTGCTATCCATCCCTAACCCTCTTCTTTTAGTAAAAGCCATTTTCTCAGAAACTAGCTCCTCCTTCAATTCTAGATGGGTCCTGGTGAACACATAAATTATAGTAACCAGGTTTATACTGGCCAGGGAAAGATACCTAACCAATTTAGGGCAGAAATCTGATCTTAAGCAGAATGACAGAAGGAAACAGATGGAATTCTCACAGCAACAGCCACATGCTAAAGAGATCCTTCTGACCCCGTGTTACTAAATTTCACAGAACTGCCTGTGTACTTTTTTTTTTTTTTTGAGACAGAGTCTCACTATGTCACCCTTGATAGAGTGCTGTCGCATCACAGCTCACAGCAACCTCCAACTCTTAGGCCTAAGTGAATCTCTTGCCTCAGCCTCCCAAGTAGCTCGGACTATAGGTGCCTGCTACAACAACACCCAGCTATTTTTTGGTTGTAGTTGTCACTGTTGTTTAGCAGGTGCAGGTCAGGTTCGAACCCGCCACCCTTGGTGCATGTGGCCGGCACCATAACAACTGTGTTATGGGTGCCGAATCAACTGCCTTTGTTCTTTATCTTTGCTTTTTCCTTTTGATTTTGTAGCTTACCTGGTATACTTCTTATTACTGAACTACCTTGTTTTTCCCCTTTGCTTTAACCAGGGTCTGTTTCTGTGACTTACAATTCAAGAATCTTGACAACCACTGAATTTCCAATGAATACTTTTTTTTTTTGAGACAGAGTCTCTCTTTGTCATCCTTGGTAGAGTGCTGTGGGATCATTGCTCACAGCAACCTCAAACACTTGGGCTGAAGCGATTCTCTTGCCTTAGCTTCCCAAGTTGCTGGAACTACAGGCACCTGCCACAGTGATCAGTTATTTTTAGAGACAGAGTCTCACTCTCGCTCAGGTTGGTCTGGAATTCATGAGCTCAGGCAATCCACCTGCCTCAGCCTCCCAGAGTCTTATAATTATGCCACCACACTCAGCCTTTTTTTTTTCTTTCTTGATACAGAACAGGGTCTTGCTTTGTCTCCTGGGCTAAAGTGCCATGGGTTCATCATAGCTCCTGCAACCTCCAACTTTTGGGCTCAAGAGATCTTCCTGCCTCAGTTTCCCCAGTAGCTGGGCCTACAAGCATGCATCACCACTCCTGTTCTATTTTCCTACTTTTTTTTAGAGGTAGGGGTCTTCACTGCGTTGCCCAGGCTGGTCTCAAATCCTGGCCTCAAGTGATCCTCCCACTGTGGCCTCCCAAAGTGTTAAGATTATTAGGTATGAACTACTACCCTCAGCTATGAATAAGCTGAGGGAATTGACTAAGCTGAAGGAAAGGAAGATCCTCTATAAAACAAGACAGATAATCAAAGAGAAGCTATTAGTAACATGTACTTAAAACAATATTTAACCTTGATGGTAATTAAATAAATAAAAATACTTAATGAATTTGCTCTTATTCAGCACTGTCCAAAAGAAATTTCTACAGTAATAGAAATAATGGTAGTTAGTACCTCTTACGCTACTGAGCACTTAAAATGTGGCTCCATGGCTCAGCGTACATAGTTTAGTGGTTAGGGTGCCAGCCACATACCCCTGGGCTGGCAGGTTCGAACCTGGCCCAGGTCTGCTAAACAATTATAACAACAACAACAACAAAACAACAGCCAGGCGTTGTGGCAGGCACCTGTGGTCCCAGATGCTTAGGGGACTAACACAAGAGAATAGCTTAAGCCCAAGAGTTAGAGGTTGCTGTGAGCTGTGATGCCAGTCTACCAAGGGTGGCATAGGGAGACTCTGTCTCAAAAAAAAAAAAAAGAAATCTGGCTACCACAACTGTGGAAGAGATATTTAAATTTATTTAATTTTAATTTGTTTAAGTTTTAAATCTAATAAGACACAAGTAGCTAGAGGCCACCTTATTGGAGCAGCTCCACATTACCAAAATAAGAAACAACCATTTAAATCTACTGTTTTCAGGTCCTCAAAGAGTACAACCTCCACAGTTGACCACCTCTTTACATTGACCACCTCCTAAAGTTGACCTAATTTTCACAGACTGGACATGCACATGTATTATGAGAACAACAGACCTAGTTCCTCATGTTGAGGACCTCTGTATATTGACCTGTTTGCTATAGTCCCTTCAGTGGTTAACTTACAGATGTTCTACTGTATTAATATTGACAATATAAATAAGGTCAAGTCCTTTAAGCACCCTAGAAAAATTAACAAAACATGGAAAGGTTCACTCTTTGAGCCCAATTTATCCAAATGATTCAAAAGAAGGAAAAAATAGCCAAGGAATAAAAGCTTTTTTTAGTAGCAGTATAGTAGGACAAGCTAGCTGAAACTCAACATATCCAGAAAAAGGAATGAGTTAAGAAAACAGTTGAATAATTTAATGTACAGTTGATAAATATTATATAATTAAATACAGTTAAGAAGCCATCAAAAAAATAAATTAGAAGGTCATGCAAACACACAGAAAAGCACAATGTCAAATCAGGCAACAAAACAAATAAACGCGTTAATATACTAAAATCATAATCATGTTTAAAGTAAGTATACCTAATAAAAAGATCAAGAGGCCCATATAGGAACATTAACAGTTGTATTTAGCAGTAGATATTTTAAATTACTTAATTTCCTAAATAACATTAGATAGCGCCTCTCTTAGATATATTACTCGTTATTTTTTAAAGGACATTTTATTTTCTGACTCAGAGTATTTTCTCTGCTTTTTAAACACCATTCCATTAAATCTAAATTTAAAGAAAAAAATTTAGTATCCCTGTAAAAAATCTAGTATCCCAGCTGTATCCCTCTAATTAAAAAAGGACAGTAAACCATGGAGTTTTACACAGAACTAGCACAGAATTTAGCAGACCTAGAGCTACACATCAGGATTTCTTAAATTCTCTAAGTTCTCTAAATAGCATGCCCAATGGTCCCAACTATGTGCTGGGATAGTACCTTGAGGCTATAAAACTTATCAAATTTACCTAGAATGCCATATAATATCATTTTATAGATGAAAAGAATTGGAAAGCACTATCTAATAGATCACAAGGTTCTTATTCTCATGGCCTAGTTAAATCTACTTGTAGCCTGAAAGCTGGATATATAATTCAATTTGGCCATCAAATCCTTCTCTAACAATTCTACCCCCAAGATTCTGAAAGATTCTGAAATTTTACTTGCAGCAACTAATTAGTTCATACCAGAAAATAAATAAGGCTCAGCACCCATAGCATAGTGGTTATGACACCAGCCACATACACAGAAGTTGGTGGGTTCGAACCCAGCCAGAGCCAGCTAAAAAATAGCCGGGTGCTATAGTAGGCGCCTGTGGTCCCAGCTACTTGGGAGGCTGAGGCAAGAGAATTGCTTAAGCCCAAGAGTTTGAGGTTGCTGTCAGCTGTAACGCCACAGCACTCTACCAAGGGCAATATAGTGAGACTCTGTCTCAAAAAAAAAAAAAAAGTAAATAAATAAACTTTAAGAAGAAGTATTTGTAAGGGGTTATCTTTTCAAAGAAAGGTATAAATTTAATAACTAAAAATTCCTTAGCAAGTTTGTTTCTTTAAAATTTTCTTCTTGCCAATCTTTCCCATACAGTTATTAACTTGTGGTTTTGGGTGCTTGAATAAGTCTACATTTAGAATCACATTCTCAAAACTAAAGTTCATTCAAATGAAGTATTACCTTGTTGATGCTGTAACACTATTTGATTCCAGGATATCTTCAGTCATCCTTAACTGTACCACTTCTGTCACATCATTTGATTTTTCTGCAAGCTCTTCTGGAAGTTCTTCTATATGTTCCAGCTTTTCATCTTCCTCTTCTTCCTCAGAAAGTTCATTAACCTAAACAAATCAAAGACAATTTAAAATTAAAATGTAATGAAACTGTTAATTAACAAAGCTAAGAAATACTAGTATAAAAAAAGCTGTTTTGTTTTTTTTTTAGACAGAGTCTCAAGCTGTTGCCCTGGGTAGAGTGCTGTGGTGTCATAGATCACAGCAACCTCCAACTCTTGGGCTCAAATGATCCTCTTGCCTCAGTTTTTCCATTTTTAGTAGACAAGAGGTCTCACTTTTGCTCAGGTAGGTATTGAACTTGTGAGCTCAAGTGATCTGCCCACCACAGCCTCCTAGATTACTAGGATTACAGGTGTGATGGTGTAAAAAAACTTTATTATTATTTTCTTTTTTTTTTTTTTGAGACAGAGTCTCACTATGTCGCCCTGGGTGGAGTGCCATGGTGTCACAGCTCACAGCAACCTCAAACTCCCAGGCTCAAGCCTCAGCCTTGCCTCAAGTCTTCGAAGCAGCTGGGACTACAGGTTCCTGCCACAACGCCCAGCCATTTTTCTGTTGCAGTTGTCATTGCTGTTTAGCTGCCCCAGGCCAGGTTCGAACCTGCCAGCCTTCGTATATATGGCTGGCGCTGTAACCACGGTGCTATAGGCACTGAGCCATAAAAAACTTTAAATACAAACAACTCATTTTTTATTTCCTCATTTCTTAGGACCAATCTGTCTCATGGAGTAACTCCCAACTTTTTCTTATTAAAGTAAAATTACAAACCAGACAAACATAACTTTTAAAATTTATTTTAGACACAGGGGTGCTGCTCTGTCACCCAGGCTGGAGAGCGGTGGAGTCATCATAGCTCATCATAGCCTCAAAGAGCTGGGCTCAAGGGATCCTCCTGCCTCAGCCTTCTGAGTATCTACGACTACCAGGGAGTATCACCATGCATGGCTAAACATAGCATTTTGAAGCAGAAAGTAATGATTATGAAGTTAATACATCACTAGGAATATGAGTAACACCGCAAGCTATGAAAAAGCATGCAAAGTATAATTGACATTCAAAAAGATTCATTTTCTAACAAATTTCATAAATCTAATAGTTACAAAAGATTTCTATGATCGCTCCAATTTCCAGGAGCATTAAACAAGTCATTTTAATATAGATAAGTGTAAAAAAAGAAGGGCACAAAAATGGAACCCTACAAGAAAGAACTTGTATTATTATTACTTTTTTTTTTTTTGCAGTTTTTGGCCAGGGCCAGGTTTGAACCCACCCCCTCCAGTATATATGGGGCCAGCGTCCTACTCCTTTGAGCCCCAGGCACTACCCAAGAACTTGGCACAATTCAAGATTGTCTTTCTGGCAGGGGCTGTAAAATGTCCTCCATTATCAAACTGGCTATTTAAGTAATCACTCTAATAAAAAGACACTGAAATACTAGAGAAGGAAAAATCAAAATATTTTCAAACAAGAAAATTACCCCAAAGAAGAAACAACCTATACAGGTCTCACCATCTTTTATAAATTAATACTAGTGATGAAAAATGCTGAGCAATAAACTTTTTGCTCACTCTAGCCAAATGCAGTAGAAATACCAAGAATAAATTTGTTTACTATTACCTTTTACAGTGAGGAAGTAAAACTACAACAAAAAAAGGAAATTATGACAGTTTATCATACTCCTAATCAACAAGTACTACTCTGTACTTATTATAGAGTATAATTCAGTAGTTAAAAGCCAAGCTTCAGAGGCAGAAAGATCTATATTTATACATCCCTACTTGCCCCTATCTCTGGCAGCTTGCACTTAACTTTTCCAAGTCTTATGTACAAAACAGAGATGCTATATATTACCCACCTAACAGAGCTGGTTGAAAGGAGTGATTATGTAAAATCTTCAGCAGGGTCTATATATAATATATAATAAACAATAATAGCTATCACTATAACTAGAATTGTCTTATTTCTAGGTAGTATAGATCCTAGATTCTACATGTCACATCATTTTTCAAAATAAATGAAAAAAGTGTCTACCATCAAAACTACTAAGAAACAGCTCTCCATCATAGGTGTATCAAGATCACTAGCCAGATGGGTCAATAAAAAGTTGTTATTAACAATAGTAATGACCTCAATTTACTTTCTTTTTATTATTTATTTATTTATTTATTTATTTTGGAGACAGAGTCTCACTCTATTGCCCTGGGTATAGTGCCATGGCACGATAGCTCACAGCAACCTTGGGCTTGAGCAATCCTCTTGCCTCAGCCTCCTGAGTAGCTGGGACTATAAGTGCCACTGTAAGTGCCATTAGAACACCTGGCTAGTTTTTCTATTTTTGGTAGAAATGGGGTCCTGATCTTGCTCAGGCTGGTCTCCAACTCCTGAGCTCAAGCAATCCACACACCTTGGCCTCTCAGAATGCTAAGATTACAGCTGTGAGACACCACACCCAGCCAACCATTTGCCATAAAGTATTATGTAGCAGATTCCATTTAATTTGTTCTTATAAATGCCACCTCTCATCTATCCAAGGTCATGTGTAATGATGATGAAAGAGACTGAAAATCACTGGCCTAAATATTTATTAACTGAGAGGTAAGATTTACACACAAAGGTGAAGACCTCAAATGAGTTAGGTCAGTTTTTAAAATGGATCAAATGAGGCTGAGCACAGTGCTCACACCTGTAATACTAGCACTCTGGGAGGCTGAGGTAGGCAGACTGTCTGAGCTCAGGAGTTGGAGACAAACCTGAGCAAGAGCAAGATCCCATCTCTAAAAACAGTCGGGCATTGTGATGGGCACCTATAGTCCCAGCTACTTGGGAGGCTGAGGCAGAAGGATCACTTGAGCCCAAAAGTTTGAAGTTGCCATGAGCTATGATGCCACGGCTCTCTATCAAGGGTGACAAAGTGAGAGACTCAGTATAAATAAATAAATGAAGGAGATCAAGTGGAAAATTATCTTCTCTCCCCATCTACATATTTAATAATTAGTGAAACCCAAGAGAATGTATTCAATCATATCCACCTGGTAACCTAAGCAAGAAAAACACTGGCAAAAAAACTCCAACTATTTTCAGAAATATAAAATAGGAATTCTTGTGGTTGATTAATAAAAGCTTTAGTACAACCTCAAAATACCAAAAAAATTTAAAGGTGACTTTTTAAAGAACTGAGAATAGATGAACACTTGTTCAGTCCATACCTTTTTGTTATAGATATACAATTTTAACATGTTATAGTACACTTTTAAAAATCACTTTGTGTAGCTCTTAGGAACTATAAAAAAAGCCTTATACTCAATTTATATTGAATACAGCATATTAAATTCAATAAGCTTGATGAAAACTGACATTCTCCAGTATTTTTACCAATAATTATCAGCTAAGATATGACATGAACAATTGCCTGTGGTTTTTTCTTCTCCCCCCCAAACTCCCAGATTTCCCAATGTAACTCTGCACTAGTAACTGACTCAACTATTTTGAGCAAGAGTAAGCATTAAAGATTTAGATTAAAATGTTTTCTCACCCTACACTAATATTTAAAAGTTCTTCTTGATCCTCACCTTGTCAACTTGATCTTCTGCTGCTTATCAACACTCTATTCTGATCATAAGTTATTTCGAGCTTGTCCTATGTATGCAGCTGCCTCAACTCCATGTATGGAAAACCCTCATCCATACTTACATCTCTTCTTTCTTTGACTGCTGTAATTCCCTTCTCTAGGGCCTCGTGAAATGCCTGCTCTCCAGACTCCAGCTTGTGGAGAACGCTGCTACCTGCCTTCTCAAACGTATAAAGAAACATAATTATCACCTCCATCTTCAAACCACTCTACTGGATTCTTAATTCATTTAAGGATTCCACACAAAGTCCACTTGACGCTGGGTCATCTCTCAAACACTCCCTATTCATCATCTCTAGCCATCTATCTCTTAGACTGCTAATACATGTAAAATATATACCACTTTGAGAAGGTTCTAACAACAATATACTTAGATTAATAGAATGAAACTCACAAAGAAGAAAATAGTAAATAAACATTACTTTTTTCAAATATCAAAATCAGGAAATAAATCAAACCATTGGCAAGATAGGCCAAGTTTACCCACATCTTTAATAACAAATGAAAGACATTTAAGTTAGGCCAACTTAACAACCAAATTGTGCTAAATTAGTAAACACTTTTATCAATTCTGCCTCACAAATCAAATTGAAGTCATCAAATCTGCTTTAAGAAAAACAAATTTCATAAATCAGCACTGTTTTTTACTCATAACTCACACATAATCCAGAAATAAAATAAAAATAGACAATAAATTCAGATAATTAGCAACACAGGTCACTGACTCTCAAGACCTAACACACTACCTCATTTACTGTGTACAGTTCAATATGCTAATATCTGCTTTTCTACCCACAGGAGGATATAAAGAATTCAGTATTATCTCCTTGTGTCTCTTAACTGTCATTCTACTTAACATAAAGCACAACATAATTAAGTCAATTTTTCTAAAGGCTTAAAAGAATACAAAATAACTGATGCAGGGCTCACGCCTTAATCCCAGCACTCTGAGAGGCTGAGGCAGGCAGATCACCTGAGTTCAAGAGTTCAAGAATGGCCTGAGCTAGAGCAAGACCCCATCTCTAAAAATAGTCATGTTTTGGGGCAGGCACCTGGTAGTCCCAGCTACTTGGGAAGCTGAGGCAGGAGAATCACTTGAGCCCAAGAGT